AACAGTGAAGAGACTCTGCGCAGGCGCACTCCGAGGCAAGGTAGGTTACTGTGCCTTGTGCACCAGAGATAACAAGGCGTCGTTTAGTCGCAATTAAAGGTACGTCTGCAGGGTCATAGACTGAACGGCAGCCTGTTACAAATTATACTAAAATCTTGTTTACTATCTGTATGGATTCCTTACTGTTTCATTGTATAAAGTAAATATAACAATATATTTATTGAGAAGAATTCGTCATTTCTCCAACATAATTATTTTAATTCAGTAAATACTTTCATAAATCAAGAAAATAAAATATTATTAACAAAAAAATTTAGTTCATTTTTCTGTTAAGAAAAATAAAATACAAACAATCTAAACTCATCTGATATAATTTTTTCCTCTAATTTTTGGATTGTGCGTTCTCGTATTTTATAATTTTTTAGTATAATTTAGTTATCATTAGGTCAAATAACTGAATACACTGATAGTAAAAGAAACATTGTGAATATAAAATATTCATAACTTTATAAATTATTCAACGATTTTTAAAAATATTATAAACTCAGGAACTACAAGCAAATTTATAGATTTTGTTATTACAGATAAAAATGTCTTCCGATGATGAGCCTCCATCAAAGAAATCTAGAACAAGGGATGTATCAAAGTGTATCACATGCAATAAATCGTTACGACACTTGACTGGATTCCATCTACAGATTGTTGACCGCAAACATGCAGCAGAAATATACACAAAATATAGGCAATTTGTACAAGTTGATCATACTATTTGTTCTAAATGTTATTCCAAACTTCGATTACAAAAAAGTGCAGAAACAAAGGATGTAGCAACAGAAAATGAACCTTTTTCTGAAATTGAAGAACAAGCCTCGAAGATGTCAGTGCAAGACTCACAAAGGGATATAGATAATACTCCTTCATGGTATAAGAAATCTGAAACCACTAAAAGTAGTCAAAAAACAGATTCTTCTGGTAGCGATCCATCTTATGTACACATTGAAAGTATCAAAGTGGAAAACGTATTTATGTCTTTTCTGAGAATAATTGCGACTCATAAATATTGCTTTACGTGCAAAGGAACTGCAAATCTGCAAAATGTCCCTTTTGATGCCCGTATACAAGTATTTTAAAAAAGAAGAATTTTTATTCCAAGAAGAAATGTATGTTGTAAAATTCATCTGAAGAAAGAGTCAGAGCATTGACGGGTTACCCATGGGAAAATATTCTCACATTGTGAGACATGATGACAACAATGCGAAATTCGGAAAATCGCAACATTACTAAGCCTTAGTCATATTTTTAATCAAATTGAGAACTGGAATTTCCGATCTTTGTATATCTGCTTTACTAGAAATTGAAGAAAAATTAGTACAAAGGTCCATAGGTGCTCTTTTGAAATGTTTTGAAGAAGAAGTTTTACCAAAGAATTATATCAATCCGTTTCTAGAGAATTTTTGCTCAGTCAAGCATCTCCTATAGCTATAGCACTATTTAATTTGCAAAATAGATTAGCTTTGATATGTGATGGCACTTATTTACGTCATGAGAAGAGCAGTAATAATGTTTATCAAAGAAAATGTTATTCCGGCCAGAAAAAAACACCCTTATGCAAACCTTTCACAATCGCTACTACTAACGGTTTTACTGTCAATGTGGATGGACCATTCAATGCAAACCTCAATGATGCAAAAATTTTAGAGGAACTATTAGAGTCTTCTGAAGGTTTTAAGAGTATAATCAAAAAAGGAGATGTTTTCATTTTGGATAGAGGTTTCCGTGACGTTGTTCCGTATTTGGAGAGTAAGGGCTATGAAGTATTAATGCCGGCACTGAAGGAAAAAGAAACCAACTAACTGTAAAAGAATCAAACGTGTATGTTACTTATCAGAAATGTTAGGTGAAGAAGATGTATTATTTTTTAAACATGTTAAAGAAGAAAATGGAATAATTAGATTTCAAGTAAGGTCAAGGCATATTAATAGTAAAACATCTAAGTCATATGTGCATTATGAACCACATACTTACGGTATCCGAGGTATTAAACGGTACTGTTGTAACTGTGCTAACGGCAATAGAACTGTAGGCTGCTGTTCTCATGTTGCAGCCATTATTTATTATTTAGGTTATGCATATTTATCAAAAATTCCGAAACCAGCAGAACAATTAACTAGCTTATTTGATTTTACGAACGTAGTGTTCGTTATAGAGGAGGATAGCGATGATGACTAAAGTTATATTTTCGACTAAAACTACCATGTAATATTAATGAGTATGTTAAGAGTGAACACAACTTTTCAGTATATGAGCTTCTAATGACTTTTTTAAATTTTATACGTGATATTTTCAATAAAATCCAGTTTCTTTGCGTATTTCTGCATTTAATATTTACTTCTTTTTTTATTCTTTTAAGAGCCTACCATGATTGGAAATATATTACTTTAGTTAACTTTTACCAATGAAGAAGATAATTCGCTGAGGTATTAGATTACTGCAAATTATAGTAAATGCCAATTTCTCTTGAATCATTTCATTTGTCCAATATTTTAATGATTGACCCACATCAATATAGATGTTCTCATTCATATTTTTATGAATTTTTTTCTCTGTATAATTCAATCGGACTATCAATTTCACTGTAGGAGTCACCTACAAAGAAACGTCAAAAAATAAAAAAAATGGAAAAAATAGTTGAATTGAATTGATATAAATTGTGTTTGAGCGATGTCTTGCCTCATATTATGTACATATATGTATATTTGGATATCTACCAATAATCATTACATTACTAGCAGAAAAATATTGACCTATTGGATTTTTTTTAGTTTGCCGCCGAAATTCCGTTCATGCAGTGAATCCCAGTGCCGATTTTGCTTCAATTACTTTATTTTTTGATTTTTTTAAGGATGACCCCGCATCAATATGGTAGTTATACATGTTTTCTGTGTATTTTTTTGCGCGGAATTCAATAGATTGATCAGATTTACTGTAGGTATCTTCTGCAAAGAGTTACGACCAAAAAACGTGAAAAACACGGTTTCATTAATTTTTAGCAGGGACTCCGCTCGATATCTGGATTTTCAATCATACCATCTTATTCCTTGTAAAAAAACACGTTATTTAAAAAAAAATTACTGCAGGTCCCAAAGGAAGCGGAGATAAGGCAGGTTGAATAATTTCCAAATTTTTTTAAGGAGGGCATACTCAATATTATGACTTGAAAAAATTCAGGTAAGTTTGTCTTATTATGAAGTATACTTGTGGATTTTTCAGATTCCGAAAGCTCATACACGCGGAAAAAAAATATTTACAAAAAAAAAACCGTTTTTTGGCCATATAGAGACTTAGGGGGGTCTAGAAAGCTCGGGTTTGCGGTAAACGTATTCTTTTTACATGTAGAATATGCCTATAAACTTAGTATCCTGATCTCGGGAGGGGGGCATTTTGACTATACTAATGGGGGGTACCATTTAGAATTGTATAATTATACCATAAATAATGAGAGTCCGAAAATTAAGAACATTAATTTGATAGAAAACAGAGATACAGAAACCATTTTTGATAACGCACAACAGATGAATCATGATACTGAAGCTTGCGGAAATTTGTCAGAAATATTTTTTATGACTCAAGCTTCATCCGAATTCAAAATGAGTTAGGAAAAGATTCTTTAAAAGTAGAGGCTAACAAAAACTGAACACTCGAAATTATTTATACATGATCGTTTACAGTATAATAATTTATTCGACAATGATATGCGAACAACACAAGGCATACTTAATTATGATTTATTTGCATTATGCAACCATTATGACAATAATAATGAAATTTTAACGAATACTCTATTCGTTTACAATGCCATATGTCATTCGTTCGAAGAAATTAGAAATTAGATAAATATAAAAGCGATGGTCTAATCGTTGTTGTGAAAAATTTGGCTATCATTTAATTCGAGTGAAAACTGAATTGCTAAAAATGCTGGATAGATAACAAAAGAAGAAAAATAGACTTATTTAAGTTTTATTCTTGGTTTTGGCTGAAGATCGTCATAAAATCTCAACATAAAACAAGAACTAATTCTCAGGCGACCAAGGAATGCTTTAAATGATATTTTCTAAATAATAAAATTTGTAATTCTAGAAACTATCGTCGAAAACTTCATGATCAATATAATGTGTATCATATAACTTATACCGTATGACACTGTATCGAATACTCAAAGCTTTGTTTACTTAATTTTTGAAAAGAGATAGAATCATTTCAATGAGTATTTATATATGGAAAATATATAGGTATCCAATGCTATGTATACACAAGTTATCTATAGACAGTTAAAACTACAAATCAGTTGGAAAATCTACAGTTTATTATTTAATTTTTTCATTAATATGAACTCTCAGTATTATCCGTATAGTAATCTTAATATTTATATAAATAAATATCAGTTTACAATATTGTACGTCTTATATCCCAAATTCAAAAAGTCATAATATATATACTAAAAAATCTACATTTCTAAATCAAGTATCATTCATTGTCATTGTTTACTTTCAAAAAAGTGAAAAATAGAATTATCTCATTTTGCATGATCACATCGACTAATATAATCTTAAGTGGGGATATGAAAATACTCATTTATGAAGTGGAACAATTAGGGCATTAAAGAGACCAGCATATGTTAAACCTGAAAATTTACAAGTCATTAATCAATGATGAAGAGATAAAAAAATCATGTTATTGAAGACTTTTATATTGATGGTAGGTTAAAATTCAACCTTTCAATAACAATCTTTAAAATCAATTGATTGGCCTGCGCAAGTAATTAAGAGTGTGTTATTACCATAATCTGAGAAAGTTAAACAAAGAAAAACTTAATCTTATAAGTGGAATATACCTAATCATTATTTTTAAATCCCGGACGGAAGATATTTTGATTATCTTGTCGAAAGTAGATAATATCAAGATTTATACGAAATATATTAAGCTATTGAAATCAAATGTACCTGCTGCTTGTACGAAAGGATCATATATATCTGTAGTGATAATTGGTTTGGGTACCATTTTACTAACATCTTGACTCCAATGACCTGGTACGGAACCTCGCATTTGAACAAAAGAACTAAAATGTCCAGAATATAATGAACTAACACTGGAATCGTGGACTATTTGCTCTGTTTCTACTTCGTTAGCCACGTCACCCTAAAATAAAAAGAGATAAAATATATTTTGGTACATATAATATATTGTTGATTCATGTGCAATAGCGTCGGCCGTCCTTTTTTTTTTTTTTTGAAAGTTGCCACCAAGATTTTAAAGATGTAGAACGATGGTTTCAGGGTAAATGGGATGAAAACATAATGGCAGATTTCTATTGGATGTTGCATAGAGAAAGTGCGGAAAAAGGAAAAAAAAAACGCAAGAGAAATCCCTTGCAACCTTTGAGGATAAACGAGTATGATATAAAAAAAGGCATAACGATGAAAAAGTAACACAGTGAGATAAAAAAATGCACGTTTTAGCGACTTAAGATAGAGGTCTATCTCTCATGTTGACCTTCAAATATCCTTGGGATTCACGTTATTGAAAATTTGAATACATTTCTTGACATAAAAAATTCATTTTTGGCAGAATAAACCTCTTTGACCTTCAAATAACCTCGAATTTATCCTTGTAAAATCAAACAAATACCGGATTCGAATTCAGCGACCCGAAAAACAAATAGGTGTAGTATTTTGGATCGATTTGACTACTTTTTCAGGATTTGACTTACAAATGACCTTAAACCTGACCTCATGGAGATGAACCGACACCAAATTTGGATTCAGCGATCCAAAAAACATACAGATATACCAGTCTAGTTCAGGGAACAGAATCTTTTTTTTATGTCCCTGTGATATCTACCGTTTCAAACTTTGGAGTTTATAGTTTGCAAAGTATTACGTACTTGGATTTATTCTAGTTTTCCGAGCTCGCAGATTATTAGGTTTAATTTCTCATGGTCTGGGGCTGTTTATCTAGAGCTTATTGGAAACCTAATATTGCATTCTTGAATTTACTGTCTTGGTTCTTAAGGTACGCAGGTTATTACGTTTTGCGATTTAAGTGATAAGGGTTTCAACCTAGCAGGTTATTTCGTTTACTTTCCTGAAGTTCAAAACACACATATTTGCGTTCTTGATTTTTCTTCCTGGTGTTTGATACTACCAAGTTATTGTATTTTTGAGTTTAGCTTCCTGGCGTTTGAGGCTCATAAGATTTCGCGTTCTTGGTTTGAGTTTCTGACATTAACGGCTGGCATTTTATTACTTCCTGGATCTATTTATTGAATTATATTCCCGGAGTATTATAACCATGTGAATTATAAACCTTTTAGTTACAGAAGCTACTATAGTAGCTATCTCATTTTTTTATTTTTATGTTCATCTTTTTTTTTTTATTTTATTAAAGATACTGAAATCGTTTGCAGCTTTGGAACTGCAACCGTAGTCGATTCAATTAATCGATCCCTTCGCGATTCTATTACTCGCGTGTTAGTTCGAACGATTAAGAGAGAGAGAAGACGCGCGAGAGTTTGAAAATATGCAGTTAAGCCTCAGCTGCTTTCGCAATTATACCGCCTAAATTTTTGCATTGTGTTTCGCCGTTAAAAGATTAAGTTTCCTGGGACTACTTTGATACGTGCGTGCGTGAGTTGCAAGGAAGTAGTAATAGCAGCATTTTGGTAGTAGCAGCATTTTGGTAGCAACAGCAGTATTGCAGTAGCAGAAGATAGCAGCAGATTCGAGAGCGAGGCAGCCAGCTGATTGATTCGAGGAGCAGATTTCTTCGCTTCAAACAATTACGACTGATCACCGTAATTGCACCGCAGGGTAGGTGCACCTTCCTTTATTGTTGCGTGACAAAATACGTTCGAAAGTATTTTGTCAACCGCGATCTTGAATCTTTTTGTATTCGCGCAGAGCGTTAGCTTTCGCGGTAATTTTCGAATTCTCTCTCTCTCTCTCTCTCTCTCTCTCTCTCTCTCTCTCTCTCTCTCTCTCTTTCACCGAATATTAATAATTAATTTGCGTGCGTTAGGCTTTCGACCTATAAAAGACTGTAGTTTTTATTGATTAAACTTAGTTAATTTTATTCGCCGTTTATGTCATTTCATTTTTTATTAGCTTAACCGATTTATAAAGGCTTAGGTTTTAATCCGATTTCATCTAGGGGATTAAGCGGATTAGGCGTAAAGTCAGTCACACCTAAGATAGATCGAGTGTCACAAATCAAGTGACTTAAGGTGAGTTCAACTCAGTTGGAAAGAAGACACTGAAACGAATTCATCTGACGTAAAGGCGAATACACGTATAACTATACGTACTTAACGGAGCGGCGGTTAGCTCTGCATCGTGGAAGTTAGTGCTTAAATAAATTTCCCATTTTTATTAGATAACCTCCCCCGTTATAGAATATAAAAGACTCTTTTTTTGAATCGATAACGCTTAATTGTTGGTTAAGAATATTTTGTAACTGTTATAAAGATATTATAGTTTCACTTGCAAATCAAAAATATTGAATTGTAATCCTCTCAGTCACGCAATTCTAACGCAATACTAAAATTTCATTTTGGAAGTGCAAATGTAAAATCTCATTGTATTTTTTGATGTGAATCTGAAACCTATATTAAAATGATATGAATCCAAAAACAACCCTTATAATAAAGTAAAAACTACACCATTTTCATAATATCGAATTTGTTTATTTATTGATTTACAATCTTTTTACTATTATTACATGTAAAATTTTTAGGTTTAAAATTAGTTTTTATTAAATTCCATAACAAAAAAATTTGAATATTGTGACTGGCAGGGTAGTTTTCCCACCATTTGAAGGGTTATTTTTATTTTCTTTTAATTTTAACGCCAGATTTGGATTCATCGTTGAAAAATACAATGGAAAAGAATATTGGCATTTTTATAACAAAGCAAATTGAATTGCGCGACTAAAAGGGTTAATGGCCCAATCATAGAGGATAAGTCTGAAAAAAATCTCTAGTAAATATTAATTATTATATTCAAAATTTAGAAACCAAATCTGTCAAAGATAACTTATCGAAAAATTAACAGGAATCAGTTGTTAATAAATTTCAAATTCAAATAACGATGCAATTTTTTAACTGCATTAGATATGTCATTTGACCTAGTAAATATTTTAGCATAACTTATTTTGTGATGTACTAACAAGGGAACCACCCCAACCCTCCGCCTCCGATTTTTCTGCAATTGAGATATGTTATAGTCCGTAAAAAAATAAAAGACCAGTATTTTTTTTATCGGCGGAAAAAGCTATCTAAGGTATGAAACCCACCCCCCAAAAAACAGCCCCAAAAGCAGTTCTATAGCAATATCTTTAGTTGTAATGAATATTTTTTTATGAAACAAAAAAAACACAAGATACTTATAAAAAAAGTAACAGACACACATCAATTTCGTCTCCGGGGGTTGCAACCCCTTCGTTGTATAGAGGAAAAACTGTATTTTTAAGTGTATTTCTATCTTACAAAATCAAAAAATTATGTTAAAAAAATTAAAAAATGATATTCTAGTAGAAAATGATAAAACAAAATTGACGTGTTTCGGGGTTTTCCTATTATCTATTATTTCGGGGGTGAACTACCCCTTAATGTTATTAATACAATATAAGCAGTTATTAATTGCAGATTATGCTGGATATTTCATGTTATATGACGCTCAAAAAAGCCAAACACATGTATACTTTTGTTCTGCCGAATAAACCATTTAGAGGGTGAAAGCTACCACCGAAAGTTACCCCTTCACACCATTTTATAGCGAAATTTTCGTATTTTATGCACAGTTTTCGACGAAACAAACTCTAAAAAATTCTTTTAAAAAATTTCAGCTAAATATATAGATTTCGTCTACAGGGGTTGCAACCCAGCCCTCTAAGTCGCCTGAAAGAAAAGCTATGTTTTCAAATATTTTCTTGCAACATTTTTTCAGAAGAAATGAAGTTTACGAAATTCCGTTTAAAATCTAACACAAAAGTATACAGTATCCGTCACCAGGGGCTGCTACCCCTTCGTTGGAGAGTGAACAGAGCATTCATTTGTTACCCTCATCCCCTACCACCCCGAACCCAATTTCTTTAAACCTCGAGCTAGTTACCCTGACACGCTATAACCCGTAACTCCTACACCCTAATTATATCAACCCTCGAGCTGGTTACCCTGCCACGCTGTAACCCCAAACTCTTAACCCCAATTTCCTTAACCTTCGAGCTGGTTACCCTGCCCTTTCTAATTTTCTAGTCCGAAACCCGGTTCTCTGTTATTCATAATCCCATTTGCGACATATTTGTAATATCTCTGAAGAAGAGGACATAGGCGAAATAATTGTAGAAGATAACGTTGAATTTATTTTATTTTTATGTTATATTTACGATAAATTAATTCGTCATTTCATTTGATATTGAGATTACATTTTTTGAATATAAAAAGACGATCCGCGCTCATTATCACTGTACATATTGTGAACAATAATGATAATCTATGAATAAATGCTGTAGACATATTAGTTTCTTGCACCATGCACATTTTATAATTGCTATTTTCACACAAATCTCGCAGATAGGCTGTTCTGAAATTTCGAAGCAATATTTAACAGGATTGTCGAACGAATCAGGTTTTTTATCCAAGTACCCACTTTTGTATTAAGCATATTTAAATACGCTTTTGATTCTAGGTGAAGATAACTGATTATGTGTGATAGACTGTAATTTTATAATATTATTCCTCTCATGTAAACTGATGTCTGATCCGAATAAATTAATGGCATCAGATATTTTTCTTACAAAATTTTTTCAAAATCGAAAACGGAATACATCCAGTGGTTGAATTGTGCCTGTCGTACCCTTAGGAATTGTCATCAATCGAAAATTTGTATCTGCTGGTGTCACTTCTCTTACAGTTCGTTTACAGTGTCCACTCCATGAGTCTAGTAATAAAACTGCTGTTTTCCCACAGTTAGGAAAAAATACATGTTGCAACCATGTTTGAAGTAATTCACTCGACAGCTTTCCTGATGCACTTGCTCGTAAAAATATATATGAGGTGTATTGAGTAGTTTTTTTGAAACAATGGGTCCAAACTCTCCGTCTGTTTCTTTTAATATCATAAAAAGGGGTGATAGCAATGTACC